CAGTATGTTCAACTTTATTTTCAGAAAGTTCTTCCTTTGTGTAACTTCTAAAACAATCATCTGAAAAAGGTTGTCTCTGTTTGAGTATCTAAACCATAACCTACTACTTCCAGCTTTTATCGAAACGGATAGGGAACACATCAAGACCACTCGAGATCCCAATAAAGAAAAAAGAAAAACTAGAGTATGTTTGGTAGAAAGTATAGTATATTCATGATGAATATTATGATAAAATTTAATATTTGTGTTGAATATCATACGGATATGAATACTTGAGAGGTGTATAGACATGAACATACATAAATATTCATAACGAGTAGTATGTATATTCATGAATAAATAATTATTATTTTTTTGCATACATGTGAACATACATAAATATTCATGATGGATAGTACATATACTCATGATAAATAATATCATACTTATGTATGAATAGTGAAGAACCGTTGAATACACGTGAACATATATTAATATTCATGATAAATAGTATGTATATTCATATAATAAATATTATAGTGAAAATGTGTATATTCATGATAAATATTATACTAATGTGTGAATATTGAAGATCTGTTTTATACACGTGAAAATACATAAATATTCATGATGAATATCATATTGATATACGAATACTAAGGAGTTGTATACACGTGAACCTCTGTAAATATTCATGAGGAATATTGCACAAATATACCATTTCACGTAAAAAAAACAGTCAAAACAGAGGAAAAAAAAACTATGTCGAGATGAATGTCAGTCGAGAAGAATGAAATGTTCTTCTTTATATTAATTATTTTTAAGATAATTTAAAAGTTTTTGAATTAAAAAAGAAATGAAAAAATCAAAAAGCTTAAAAATAATCTATTTTTGTCCCTACTAACTTCTTAATTAACCACTTTGTGTTTTAGCTTTTATTAGTTTTCTTAATTTACAACCTAAAATTAGTTTGCAATTGAATTGAATCCAATCCCCCCTCTCTAAACATGCATTTATTATTCATTGTAATATATACCTATCAATGCTAGCATTCTTTCTCAAGCTAAAAGTAAACTTGCATGAATTCCTTCTTGGCAAGTTAGGTATCTACATGCTCCAACTGGGTATAAGTATTGCTTTTGAGTGATGGCACTCGGTTTCCTAACTCATTTACTCCTCCTAAGATGGATGGATGGATTCAATAGAAATTTTCTTTAAGGAAGAGATAAGAGGGCGGTTTCCTTATGTAGATTCGTTTACTTCTGATAGGTTGTGCAATAAATAGGAGATTAATGGATGACCGATTGTAATGAGAATTGATAAATCAGCACATGCATTCTATTAATAAAGGATTGCCCACTAATTTTACACATTGGAAGCATGGAAAAGGCATATGGATATAAAAGTATCTAATGGGTTCTTTGCATCCTCAAACACTTATTTGCAATTATTGTGTTTGATTTCAAATGATTATGCGACTATAGAGTAGATGTTTGAAACTGAAACTATGGTTGTTAACGCTTCGAGCTTTCAACGAGATCCTCAAGTTCAAGCTTAATAATTCTTGAGCTCGAGTTGAACGCAAAATAAAATTCGTTTAGCTTAACGTGTCAAGCTCCAAAACATCAATATCTAACTCGACTCGTTCAGAAGATTGATTAAATTTTTTCGACTCACCAAGCCAAGCCAATGGAGCATACACTTTTCCACATCAAAGATAGTCATGTTAACAAGGATCAAGGTCGAGCCAATACACGAGTTGTTGATCTCAAGCTCTAAGCCCAAAAAACAAGCTTATAAATCTTGAATTTTGGAAATAATGTACAACTCACAGTTGTTAAACACGCATTAAACTGCGACTCGAACATTGCAAAAAATATTTGAGGGTTACTATGATTTGTTGAAAATTGCTATTTCAACCCTTCTGCTTCGAAAATTATGGTTTTCATCCCTATAGTTTACAACTCAACACGCTTTTGTCCCAAATGGTCTACAATTCACTGCTTTTTTAATTTATATGGTTTACAATTTTTGTTGTTTTTGTCCCGCATACAGTTATACTTAAGGGTAAACAACTAACAAAGTTAGCCTCAAGATTAAAAACACTAAATTGCAAACCACATGTTATGAAAATCGTAAATTCAAAATATAGGAACGAAAGTGACAATTTGTAACAAACCACAGTACACATATATGTGCCTATTGAAGTTTAGAGACGGTATTTATAGTTTTGTATAAACAACAGGGACCAAAATTGTTGTCTACTCTTATTATATGCTAACTAGTGCGAACGCACGATGACAAAAATATGTTGTTAGAAAATAAATATGTAATTACTTTGAGATGAAGCGTAACTTGTAATTCATTGACAACTAATAAAATACAATGTAAAACACTGAATGTACTTGTAAAAAGTAATTGATGCAACGTACGATAAATGAGAAGGTTGATCCCGTTGATTCTATGAACACTTCACCATAGCGTGTTCTTGGAATCGATATGTTATGAACCTAAAATAGAGTCTAGCACAAAAGTTATGTGTATTTAAGCACGACACCTTTTGTTAGCCTGGTCATGGGCCTCCCTAAAGAATAGGGCATGGTTCTCCACACCATGGCCTGCAGCAGTATTGCTTCATTATCGAAATTAAAGTTGTACAAAAACGATTAGTTGCAAATATATATGCAGTATTAAGAATTATACTGGTAGAACACAAAAATAATCTTTCCATTGTAACTTAATGTTTGTTTTGCAACCTATTTATTAAATCGGTTTTGAAATGGATTACACATAAAAGAAAATTTTAATAAACCATCATATAAAGTCAATTAATTGAATAGAGGAAAAAAAAAGATTACATAAATTAAAAAACAATATATTATAAGAATTCTTTTTATTATATATTCATACCCATATAGCCACCACTACGTGAAAAAAATATGCATTCAAAAAATCAAATAAAATATGTTATTTAGCTAATGGTATCAATTTCTCTTGATTGACATGTTTTTAAGCAAAAAAGCAAAAACAGGGAGCTCTTTATATATATATATATATATTGGTTGAATAAGGTTCAACTATGCAAGTAAATGCAATTTTCAATTTTTATGAACTTTGTGATTCTTGCAAATGCATTTTTCTTGAACTGAAAAAGTCAAACATGGTTGAGTACCCGGTTCTATTTGTCAAAAGATGTTAAATCATTTTTCATATACTATTTTATACAACTTTTTCTAGGAAATTATCTGTGGTAATCCTTTATTTTTTAAAACCATAAACAACATTGGTTAGTCAAGTATCAACATCTTCTCTTAATTTTTGTGCTATTATCCGTTCAAACATGCATCTCAATATAATTTGATACTTTTAAGCTTTTACGTTCTTGTTCATAAACATTATTTGTTTACAATAATTAAATTAACATTAGAGACGCTTTTTAGACATATTATAAACGATATTACTAAAATTACATTCATGATTAGCATTGATTATTTTATAATTGTTAGAAATATAATTACAGGAAATAAATACATTTGTTCGTTCATAAACTTCCTTTTTTTCAAATTTGTTTTTCAAGTTTGTAAAATCCTTTTATGCTTGTCTCACCAACTAACAACCAACAATGCTTTTTTAGTTATTATTTATCGAATTTTTGTCTTCTCAAAAATAACTCATCAAGAACATTTTAATGAAAATCAAGAACATAAATAACAAACCTAATCAAAAAAATTATAATATAATACTTATATAAACTCTAAAAATTGCAGGATTCAGAGACAAAATCAAACATAAAAAACCTCCTTCCGCTCATGAAAATGTCAACCCCTTTGAGACTTTAAAAGAGAGAAAGATAAACAAATTCATATAAATGATGGATATCACACACCACATTTTTATTGAAATGTTTGATAATATAAAATAAAAATGCCAAAAAGAGTTGGAGGCTATTAAAAAGTCGTATCCCTTCAAGCTTTTGAAAGTAGTTTAAACTTTTTTTCTTCTATTTGTATAATCAAATATTTGGAGTAGTCTTATTCATCACATATTTTCATGATTCAATGTTGATGTCATTAATATGTAGTGCTTACGGAAGATAACTTACATTTGAAGAAGGGATTCAAATGCTAGAGGTTTGTAAAAATATAATGCTAACACCTTCAACTAATCCAGCAAATGATGTTTCCACAAAAATTATTTGCTTATTGAGTACTAAGACCTTCAATATGCATAGAAGAACTAAAATAGTTCTTGGAATTTTGAAACATAATCCAATAGAAAGTTGGTGTCGAAATAGATCCACTTAGTATACTTAACATACAAACAAAAAATGATAGACCATTCAAAGAGCACAGGTTTCATCGGAGATTGTTTGGCCTCACGTAACAATAGCGATAGACTTTCATTGGAGAGCAATGACTTAACCTATATTGCAAGTTGGTGTCGAAATAGATCCACTTAGTATACTTAACATACAATCAAAAAATGATAAACCATTCAAGGAGCACAGGTTTCATCGAAGATTGTTTGGCCTCACGTAACAATAGTGATGGAGGCTTTCATTGGAGAGTACCGACTTAACCTATATTGCAAGATGTATGTAAAAATTCTACATATAAAAGAGGAGAAAGCCACAATTTAATGAAGAAAAAGCTACAAAGGTTGTCGACATATGGAAAGTTGAAGGTTATACTAAAGTGTAAGATATATTTAAGAGAAACGAAATCAGAAAGTTTACTAGAAAATAGGAAGAGTGAAGGTTCAAAGATGCATGTAAATTTACTAAAAACGGTTTGTGCATAATGAAGCACACATTTATTATATAGGGACGACATCATCTTTTTCTTATATTAGATATTTTAAAAAACAAAAAGATTTAGAAAAAAGAGAAATAAGAATTCTAACATTAGGAGATGTTATTGGGTTTGGTTTTCCTTTAATATATATATATATATATATATATATATATATATAGATTTTATTCTATGTAGATAATATAGAAAATTCTTGAACCTTTCAAACCAAAACCAAAATCAAAATCATTTTTGTCGAAATTTAGAGAATAAGAGTTCACATTTATGGGTTGGAGGTAGTCGTGAATTCAAGTGATTATATATTACATTACCATAAAAGAAAAGAGGTTATCGGTAATTAATTAATAATCACTGCCTCTCGATATGACCTCTTTGCATGTCGGGCGGAGTAGGATGGTGTGCTCGAACTGAGATACGTAGCTACCCTTTGTGTCACACAACGGAGGGTACGGCTGCAAGATTACAACATATTAGTCTCGTGAAAAATACAAATAAACCCCTGACCCTGAGATGGGGTTTGGAGGTATGATGTACAAAGCAAATATTCATGGAGGCACAGGTTAGAGTGACCCATTTTTAGTAGGATCAGCTAGTAGTAAGCACATAGGCAGGCTCCTTGTGTTGGTTAGCTGCACTTGATAGGACCTGACTTTCTTGCTTGTCTTACCTACATGTTTAAGTTGCTTAGTACATTCGTATTCTACTTGTAGGATTGGGTTCTAATGAGAATGAAAATTATGGTGAGAAGAAACCTCCACTCTTGGATAAATCCTAATTGAAGAGGACCACTAGTGAGATATATTGGATCAATTCCCTTCTAAAGCGCGATTAATGAGTTGTTTTGGGATTAGAAGTTTCTTACACTTCTCACCTCAACTCCTATTATCACACGATCCTTCATCTCCACTTTTCATTACATGTGTTACATGCTTACATTGTTCCTTGCATACCACTGATTTGTTATTCTCCATGTTATATTTTTTCCGATTACCGCTTATCTTATTGTCTGCTTGATCCTAATGGCCGGGGTAAGGTCTAGGTGCACCCTACCCATCTCAGATCCTACTTTCGAGTGAGACATATTAGATTCGATTCGTTTGGTTTGGCCGTGCTAATGAAGCTTAAGTGTGTTTAACTCTAGCATTGTTGGTGCCATGGAGGTGGGCTTTTCTCTGTTCTTTAGGTGCTAGAATATATCTAGTAACGTTACTCTTGGAAAACCATATTAAACAAAGAATCAAAATGTAGTAAAAAACTAGCTAATTTAGTATTTGAACAAATCTACTAGAGGTGGCATATAAAAATGGTGGTAAAATCAAATAAAAAATTAGCTAAGAGGGCAACATATGGAACTGTTTTAAAAGTTGCCATAACCATGCCCGTTTACAACCTCCTAAATTGTTTTATTAAAAAAATTAGATGGTTAATTTAATAGCAGTTTTTGTAAATCATATAAAACCAAAACGATAAAGCCCACTCCAAAGAAAGCCTTTGGGAGGGTTAATTATACGCAGACATGACGTCTAACCCAGTCAGAAGAGTTGATGATCAGCAAGAATCTTACCCGGTAAGTGAAAGTGGTGACTCCTACCCGGTTAGCGGTTACTAGGTAAGAGATGATAGAAATACATCAAATCATGAATTGACTTGTTCATTACATCAATCACTATGGAGCGTAAACACTATCCTAGAGATTAAAAAATTAAATGGAATGTGAAAGAGAACCAAAGAATATGATATTGGTGATTAAGAGAGATGATTTGATGTATCTCTACCATGGCTCCACAAGATGGACTATCGATTAGAGAGACCAATCTTAGACATGAGCTCAAGCAACCGGCTTGGTAAGAGCATCAGGGGTATGATAAAGATACATCAAATCATATATCTTGATCTCCAACATCATATCCCTTGATCTATTCTCTATCACATCCCATGTAATTAAAATTTTGTAAACTCTAGGACAGTGTTTCCATTTCTCATTTTGTGTATATATATACTCCATACCATGGTGATGGATGAAATAAACAAGTCCATTCAATTACAAATTCTGTTGCTTGTTCAAAAGAGACGCTTATATTATGCTACTTTGATGACCAAAAACCTTACCCGGTGAGGGTGGTGACTCTTACCAGGTCAACACTTACCAGTTTGTGTTGGTAAACGGCCCTTAAGTTAACATTAAATGTGACCTATCATGAACTATATAGTCAACTTAACATAGAAACTCCAAACCCAAAAAGAGGTGGCCAGTCATCAACTACGCTTCATGCAAATGCGCAATATCTCAACCCTGAAACTCTTCCCAAACCTACTTGAGAAATCTTAATCACATAGGACCTTCAGGGAAGCTGTGGGCTGTGGGTATAGTTTCTCTGAAGTTCACAAGTATAGATGTCGACGTTCATGATTCTCTTTTCTTCTACCCTAGAAAAGGTATCTAAAAATGCAATGATTATATAATTATGATGGAACTATTCAGATATTTTACATTAGTGGATACTTTGATGTATGAACAGGATATCTAAGAAATTGCTGGTAAATTGGCATCAATTAGTACTCAGTCTTCACATGACAGCTAACAAATTCCAGATTTAAATAATAATAAAAACACAGGGCTGGAGATACCTGAACAACACCAGCATCACACAAATTCTTGAGAGCCATTAAATATTTCGTCTCATCTAGTCGATCTAAATAGCGTCTGCAGAAGGCCAGTGTAGAGAAATTCTTATCGATTGTGGCAAGAAGCTGTTTTGCTCTTGGTAACCGCAGCGGAACATGACCAACGTCAAAATTTTTCATGTAATGGCTGCACTCCAGATCTTCTCTCACATAACCCTTGCCTAAACACAACAAACACGATATAAATTTGTATGCCAACTATTATTCTTTCTTTCACATTCAAAAGCTAAGAAGCACAAATGGTTACCAGTAGATCCGAAAGTTTCAATTGCATAGAATTCTCCCTCTTCCATCTTTGTTTGTTCTCCTCCTTTCACAATTGGAACTGATTTTCCGGCGTGAATTTGGTAAGGTCCGATGCTGTGTCCATTCAAGTTCCGGATACTTTTCACTGCAAATGTTGCACCATGCGAGTTAAAAAACTAAAATTAGTCTAATCCTGCAAAATAGAAAATATGTTGATCCAACAGTACCAAGTTTTAGAGATATAATGTAAACATTAATAGTGATATCCTTTTTTCAAACACTATCTTGACCATTGACGAATCAACCGAGTTCGTAAAATTAATCCTTCTAAAATGGTTCAGCCAACTACTTGGCAGTCAGCTGATTTTAATGGTGTAAATAAGTATATGAAGTACTGTTGGAACCTACGATATAAAAGATGCTAATATATGCATCAATCTTGATGTTCAACAAAAGACAACTAAAGAACTCCAGGAGTAAAATGTCAAGTGTTGCCTACACTATAGTAGAGAATATACCTTGGAAGACCTTTCCATTAATTTCTACCTCATAAGACTCCATGACCTCTTGGATTGCAGCACCTATATCACATAGACGTACATCAATCCCTGCTTCCTGCATACCACAGAATGGAAGTTCGAGAAGTCATTACCTGAATGTCACCATATAGCCTATTGGCACTAAACAGTTTGATGTGAAAGTTAGTTTATAATTACAAAAAACTTTTTCCGTAATCTGGAAAGTTACATTCACTCTAGTACTTTTCACAAGGAGTTCATGTGAGCCATATTTTAGTTAATCCTCAGTCCCAAGACAAATGCAAGCTTCAAACATGATTCAATGAGAAGGCTTGTCTAGTGGTCAAAATATTTAAAATGCCTACTATAAAAGAGCAAAATGAAAGAACTTGTGTACTAAAAAACAATGTCATCAATTGTTACTGCTGGACCAAAAAGTAAACTTCGATTCAGAAGTCACCCAAAAAGAAAATATTGCAATTATTTTGGAGTAAAAAATGAAAAATAAGCATTTATTTCGAGATGGAGCGGTAGTATTTTTATTTTTTTTTCCCAAGAAAGTAGAACATCTTCGCTTATAGGTTCATTTTGCCTGATGCACAATATTCACCCATAATTTCTCACTCCACGTTGCTAACCTTAATACCAGTATTTGTGGCTTCCCGAGAGGCCTCGAGCAACGGATCAAACATTGGATTGAATGCAACTGTGAATGCACAGTCAACTATGTGCCCTGAAATGTGTTACAACAGATAAAAAAGGAGAGTAGGAGACTATGTTAAAAACTGCACAAATTGAGTACATGACGAAAATTACTGCCAACTGTGCCAAATCAACTACGAGCATTGTGATTTCTAACCATTTATATGAGTTCCGAAATCCAATTTCATGACATCATCATATTGAAGCACAGTTTTATCTCCAGAGTTGGGGGTCCAATGGGCTGCAACCCTGATACGATACAATATGTTAATGATCAAGTTTTTTCTGAGAAAAGTGACACAAGGATTAAAGGAAATCAATAAAAAGTCGATGATAAAAACAAAGATGAGAAGATGATCATCATAAGGATTACAAAATAAATACCAGTTCAATGAGCATCCTGTAGGGAACGCAATACCAGCTTGTAGACCATTCTCTGATATCAACTTACGAACAGTATTCTCCAAGGTTTCACACAGGTCGACCATCAGCATTCCAGGCTTCAAAATGCTCCTAATATATTTCCGAACCTGAAAAGGGATGAACGAAGCACCATGTTTTAATAACACAAGTAATAATGAATATTCTACCCCTGAAGTCCACATAATAGGTCTGCTAAAGAGCATGGTAGCAAGAGAACCTGACGATGAACTTCTGCTGCTTGTCGAACTGAGTCATACATAGGCTTTTCTAAGCGTTCTAAATCTCTCTTTTCCTCAGATGTAGACCTCCATAAGTTACTGCATAAGCAACAACGTGAGGGTGACAGAGAGAGAGAGAGAGAGGTATTATAATTCAAATAGAACATGCAGAAAAGCAAAATATAGATAAACGTTACATAGTAGGCACTTACTCATCCTTATATTGCTGAATTTCACCCTCTGGAAAGTTTCCCTGGGAGAAAAGCTCTGAAACTGGAATAGTAGGTGGATCAGTTTGCTCCTTTGTTTCTTTTTTTCTCCTGTGATGACAAATTATAATAACTAAGAATACCAAACAACTAGGTGATATTGTCAAACTCATTTCACAAATGGATAACATCATACAAATTCTTACTTGCTTTTGTTCTTCTTCTTCTTCTTTTTTGCAGCTTCCTGAACGCCAGTTTCTAAATTATGCAAGTTCAAATGTTAGAAACGTCCAAGACATTACATATAAAATAAACAAAGTAAGATCAAATAGGACTTGTTCATTTATTTATTATATAAACAATTTTCTGTCCAACGTTATTTTGTTAATCAGATAGCCAATTATGTTCTATACAAAGAATTATATTTTTGTGTCTTGACTAACTTTGATGATTAGGAGAATAAGATTTGTACCAGAGAACAAAGAATCTTCAAAACAAATTGAAAGGAAAACATAACAAGTATCCATTTTCCCAGGTTCAAAATATGTGGGCATGTGTGTGAACTGCATATTTATCAGTTTGATGACAGGTTACAAGCCTTAGTAGCTTTATGTTTTTAGGACCACCGATATCTCGATTTCATTAACTTTGTTCGACATACGGTGAAAGTCCAGCAGCTTTGGAAAATCCACAGCTTGGCACTCATATAAATACAAAACTTCATTTATATATTAGCCTCAACAGGTTTACTTATTGAAATTGAGAATCATCCAAATAAAGCTTTGCAGAAACACACACATACTAGAAAAGATAAATAGAACTCAAAGCCAGGATATCCTATAGGGCACGTGACCTTAAAGACTACACCAGCTGACATCAAAAAGTAAGAGGATCCCTACCCACTGTTGGTGCTGAAATTTTATAGGAAGCACCCACCTGACAACTTAAATTTTTCCGGGAAGAGACTATATCTAGAAAGTGAAGCCACTTACCAAGAAATTCTTCTACTTACACAGAGGAGGTAGGGTAAAGCGCAAAGCAAAGCATTCTTTAGGAGGCAACCTAAGTATTTTCTGACAGTCTGCTGAGGTTATTATTTCTTCTCGTACAATTGTATATAACGTCACTTCATACCATCTATGTTTTCTAGTGTCTAGTCAGATCAATTTCTTCAAATTGCGACAGCTATTTAATGAGCTTTAGAGTTCATGGACTAGCACATTATAATCCATTCAGGTTATACAGGCAATGAGCTTTTGATTCCATGTACTAGTGTTACATAATTTTCCAAAACCCATGAAGCAACATATGAATCCATTCAGGATATATCATAAAATCAAGTGCAACATTCCCAAGATTTCTGATATTTCTTATGTCGTAAATTTAGATATTTTGGTCATGAATTTCCATGTAGGACTTTATGGTAGAGGTCTATACTTAATTGAATGCATATTCAATTTATATGGAAGCATATCAAATCTTATGTCGGCTTCTGTGTACAAGATTGAAATTAGTAGACGTGCATATACCAATCACTAAACACCAAACTCAAATAAGACCGTATTAATGTTATCAACCAACGTGTATTATAGATTAATTTACATTGCTATAGAAGAACCGATTTACATGTACAAGACATAGAGCCAGAAATATAATTTGTAGGGAATAATTGATCAATGCAAATTACATTACCTGAAAATATAACGGATACTTGCAATTTTGAAAACCATAAGTTAGGTGTAACATAACATCAAGTAAATAAAGAAGTGAAGAGAGACGGCCTTTGCTAAAGTTACGGATAAGCATGGTAAAATATCACATAATATGGTAATTAAAGTAATAAATGTTTTCTTAACTGACCCAAACATGTGTCATTATTTGATTCAAAAGCACCCCCAACCAAAACAGCACATGATGTATTGATAACGATATTAAATCTCCTTTCCATTGACATAATTAATTTCTTGTCTCACAGGTCCTGATGAAGGAATGGTATGGATGGGAGCACCTTTTGCATTACCTTACAACTAATGCAAAGCAAAGTAATGGTAACCTACTTAATCGATTCTAAAACAAAATGCTAATCAACCAATAATGCGCATATATAAGTTTATTACCAGCTGCAAAAATTCATATGTTTTGAAGTTTACAAAGAGCACATATAAAAGATGCTTCCACATCATGAGAATTCACACCAACCTCGATCAAAAGCTTGGTGACATTTATAAACTATCAGATGGCATAATCTCAAAATCAAGATAATCATCCTACAAGTATTCCAAAGATTAATTACATTAACCTTGTATTTGTCCAAATAAACATATTGATAACAACTGCAAACTTTATAATAGGCACTATAATCAAAAAAATTATGTTGGTGTATATCATTAATAAACTTCATACTCCCTTTATCTCGTAACTAGATTCCACATCATAATTTTGAGATTCAAACTCACGATTCTATAAATCCCAATATTTTGAACACCAAAAAATCTATACTTGTCATACCTATTCTCTTCTTAACACTAATGACTTTTTCAGATCAAATCAATTCAATCATATCAATTTTAACTAGATAACTAGTCCGCGGATTCCAGTTTTCCCAGAAGCAACAATTTGGTGCTGGGGAATGGGGACGTCCTCGGCTTCAAATCAAAAAATCTAAAAGTTTCATCGTTTTCAAGAAACAAAAATACAATATAAAATTAAATAAATTACCTGAGGAATCCGCTAACGTCAATTCATCAACTTTATCGTTCACTTCTTCGACTGTAGCGGGTACATCACTGACCATTCCATTTGAGGTTCCTGCTCCACCATTCGTATCTTCCTTCGCCATCTCTACAATACCGTTAATGAGTATCAAACATACAACTCATATTCAGGAATTACAAAAAGGACTACAGATTAAATATGTCAATCAAACAAAAGCCAAAAAAAAATCTAACAGACAAGAAAAAAAAGGATCATATGTGAAGAACAATGGAAAGAAGACGAAGTAAGAAAATGGAGATCCGCCGTATCTCGTTTCTCACCGCAAAACAGAGCAGAAGCAGTGGTGAATTTAGGGTTTGAAAATTATAAGTTGTATATTTTACGCGACGACGACGGTGTTGACAAGCTACGAGAAGTAGGCAACAAGTTTAGGTTTGGCAATTTAAGCCCTTCATGTTATTGCTATTGTCATATTGCCCTCCATATTAGGGAAGTTACAATTATTTTGGTCATTTTAAGGCTTAATAGTGTTCAAAAAGAAGGAAAATCGAGAAACCTTGAACCGTTTGATCTTAAAAAAAAACCCGATAATAATAAAAACCGACTGAATATTCATCGGTTGGTTTTGGGTTTTACTAGAAGGGTATTCGCGTAATCCAGCGAGATAAATCTTTATTTTAATGTTTAATTTTTATTATTTGTCTTTATCGATATAATATAATTTTATGTAGTTTTGAGAAAGCGATAATTTTTTATTTTTGAATGGATATAAATTTGAAAACAGCATAAAAAATTTATACAAAAAATCGATATTAGTATTAAATTAACTATTTAATAGTTTTCGTTCTTTTTTGGTATAACTTCTTTAATTCAATTTTTTATTATAATTTAATTTAGGTATAATAACAAAGTAATTTATTTTTGGTTTAATAATATATTTTTTATTAAAGATAATAATTAAACATTCAGTTAGAAACTTAATAATTATCCTAATTATATTTTAGATTTTTTATATTTTAAAATGAGACGTTTATCCTCTATTTGATTATGTTTATCCATAGTTAGTTACACGAATTTAAACATGGAGCTTTAATAAGTTGTACTTAATGCTAAATTTACTTGTAATCTTGAATTTTAAGTAATATGCATCAATATACAGTACTTTATGCATAAAATGGTTTTTAAAAGTTTTTATCAAATGTTTTATAATACTAGAAGAGTATTCGCACAATGCAACGAGACATATCTCGATTTTATTATTTGTCTCTGTCGATGTTATAATACGATTTTATGTGTTTTAAGAAAACAATAATGATTTTATTTTTGAATAGAATATAAATTTGAAGATATTATAAATTTTTTAAAATATATATATCAATGTTAGTATCAAATCAACTATTTAAAAGTTCTCATTTTTTATGTAATTTCTTAATTTTTTTATTATAATTTAATTTAAGTTTAATAACGAAATAATTTATTTTTKGTTTAATAATATAACATTTTATAAAGATAATAATTAAGTATTCTGTTACAACTCAATGATTATTCAAATTATATTTTAGATTTTTTATATTTAAAATGAGATGTTTATCCTGTATTTGATTATGTTTATCTGCAGTTAGTTACACGAATTCAGATATGRAGCTTTAATAAGTTGTACTTACACACAATCTACTTGTAATCTTGAGTTTTAAGTAATATGCATTAATAAACATTATTTTATACATAAAAGTGGTTTTTAAGGAGTTTTTATCAAATACTTGATATAGTATAGAAGTATAGATATTGATATTATAGATAACTAGCAGGGTACTCGCATAATGCAATGAGATATATCTCGATCTTAATGTTTCGCTTTATTTCTTTTTGTTCAGTCAATGTCATAATAAAGGTTTATATGATTTTGAGGAATGATAATGTTGTATTTTTTTAATAAAATATATATATTAATATATCATAAAAAATTTAAAAAATATATTGATATTAATACCAAACTAACTATTTAAAATTTCTCTTTTTTTGTGTATTTTTTTTGGTTTATAAATATAATTTTTTATATAAAAAATAATTATTAAGTATTTTGTTAGAACTCAATGATTATTCTAATTATATTTTAGATTTTTTATATTTAAAATGAGATGTTTATCCTATATTTGATTATGTTTATCTACAGTTAGTTACATGAAAATAAGTTGTGCATACGCACAATTTACTTGTAATCTTGAATTTTAAGTAATATGTATCAATAAACAGTACTTCATGCATAAAAAATGGTTTTTAAGAGCTTTTGTTGGTCCCGTAAGGGTCTACAAGAATAGAAACAGTTTGTAGAATGGAGGGGATGAATACAGATTTTACAAGACTGTTTGTGGAAAGATGAGGTAAAAAAAAAACCTATTTAAACAATCTTTGGTTACACACAGATCTTTAGCAATTACAAGAAAAGAGATTGCTAAAAAAAGATCTTTTACTTAAGCTAGAAGATGCTTGAAGTAAGATGAGGATTGCAGAGAGATGCGCGCTCTCTACAAAGAGAAGAAACACTTCTATTTATACTCAGTGCATTAAATGAACATTTAATGCAATATAGTAGGTTTAGAGTGCGTGGCAAGCCTAAAGAGGAAGGTTTGTCCTTTGCTACAGTGAATAGTACAAAAGCACTATTCTTGAGCAGACATCCTTGCCTAAAGTTGATGGACAAAGAGTCGACTAATCGGCTCCGTACCGTACTAACTTTTGCAAGGGTATGAGTTTGTCCTTTGTGTGCAAAAGGACAAGACAACAACAATCGTGCTAAGCAAGCTTCTTTTGATCGCTGAATGCTGGGATGACTTGGAGGTCTCATCATCATTCGTTGAAGCTAGAGCAGTCTTCACACATATGTAGACAGATTTATAATCACTGAATACCGCTTCACATAACGTACTCGCCAGTCTCTAATCTTCAGTTTCAGTCTTCGACATTCGCTGAAGAATCTTTGGTGTGAGTGTTGTCTTCTTGAAGTATTGTTTGTCTCTGATGAATTTACAATGCAAGTTCTTCAGCGATCACTGAACATACTCAGTGATGATTGCTGGAACTGAAAATACAGAGACACAAATACAACGTGAAAGGAAAATGTAATAGTCTGGTTATTATTTTGGTTATATACATATATATATATATATATTATTTAATTAAATATATATATATATAAGATATATGTATATATGATATATATAAATATATATATATGTTATGTATGTATGTATGTGATTTGTGTGTGTGTGTGAGCATTCAAAAGAAGAAAAGAAGGGAGAGGGTCGGCTATTAAGCCGCCTCTCAATCTCCTCGTGGGTATGTATGTATATAAAGAAATTTGAGAAGGAAAAACACACACAACACATTTTCTATATTTAGAAATTTCTCTGAAGAGTTTTGAAGAATCTGCACAGAAAGAGGAAAATCTCTAAAAGCTTTGAATCTCAAATTTCAAAGGTGAGTGTATTTGAGCCTTGAATATGAATTGCTTCATACAATTTGAAAAGCATTTCAACTGATTATTATGTGTTTGGAGGCATTTTTATGATGATATTTGTGTATACCGGCCAAGTAGTGTCCGGATTGAGGTCCGGATACTTAAATCGGATGTGCTTTGTCCGGATATCTATTAAACCGGACAAGAAGTGAACGGATTATGTTTTAAACCGGACAAGAGGTGACCGGATAAAGTGTAAACCGCTTAAAGAATCATGTGATGTATTGACCGGATTGCTAAACTGGTCAAGAGTTGTACGGTGTGTTGACCGGTTTATATTAAACCGCTCAAGGGATAAATTGTGTATTGATCGGTTTAATCTAAACCGGATGATAAAGAGAATGATATGGTGTCCGGATTCTTAAATCGGACAAGGATATTATATTTTCAAAAGGATTGTGAGCGGATTACTAAACCGGACAATGTTAAATTATTTTTCTAAGTCTTTGTCCGGATTTGTAATCCGGATGGAAAGTTTTAAAGGACAAGTTTGACCGGACTTCTAATCCGGGTGGAAAAAAAAGAGTTTTGAGAATTGTAATTGATTGAGCAGTGTTGACTGCGAGTGAGATGGCGGTGTAACCGCGAGAGTGTTATGAGCAGTGTTTACTGCGAGTGAGATGGCGGTGTAACCGCGAGAGTGTTATGAGCAGTGTTTACTGCGTGTGAGATGGCGGTGTAACCGCGAGAGTGTTATGAGCAGTGTTTAC